TTGTAAACATTTTAAAACATGAAAACTACATCTGTAAACTGTGTTTTCTTCCCTGAGCAAAAAGCCTATTCAAGTATATAGCACCATTCCATGTATGCAGTAGTAGCCTACCATTCCTATGCAACAGGCTTGTAAACTTCAATGATCAGAATGGAACGTTAGCAAAAGAAATATTTACAATGAATACTTTCAAGTTAAAGTTACATTCACATCTGACTTCAGTCTCCTCCCAGCACATACTCCGTTAAGTGTGCTTTTTCCAATTAAAGTCTGAGCGGGAGTGAGACACTTGGAATATACTGGCTTCAATGACAATCAAACTAGAAATCTTCGGGTCTTCGGTTCTTCACACAGCAGTGGGAACACGAACACCAGCGATCTTCATCTTCGTGGATGTCCGAAACTTTCCGTTCCCAGCCGATCTAGACATAGATAAATCAAATCTAACCAAATCTACAGCCATCCCGGCTAAAACCATAATTTTATATAACTCCCGTTTATTTCTTTCCACTTTTTATTTCCCAATATTATACCCTTTCTTGAATCAACATAGATATTGGTTAGAGGTGCAAGGACTATATGACTTAATTAAAGCTGAAAGAATAGAGGGGATAAGTGGGGAGATAACAGAAATTGAAATATTAAGTAGAAGACAAATAAAAGAGAAAGGGTTAGCGGGGGCGTTATATAAACTGATGGTAAGAGATAAGGAGAGGTTGATAAGGATTATACAGAATAAAGGATTATACAGAATAAATGGGAGGGAGAAGAGTTAATGCATCAGGAGTTGATTCAAGAAATAATGAAGGGTATAAATCAAATCAAAATGGATAGAGATAAAGAAATGGTGAGATGTCGACGGAAGAGGAAAGCGAAAGTCTAGAAGAAGAGGAAGAAGAGGAAGATGCAGAAGAAGAGCCTACAGAGGTGGCAGAGGATGAGAAACGAAGTGGTCGCAGGCAAACGCAAGAGGAAAACAAAAACAAAGGAGCAAAAAGATCTAATGCGATCCCCCTACAAGTGCGGACAAGACTCTTCTACAGAAGGGGAAAAAAGTGAAAGATAAAATGGGTGACAGAAGGAATGGAGCGATAAGTATATTATCAATCAACTTTAACGGACTAAATGGTCCGCGGAAAAGAAATCGGATTTTTCATCAATTGTCAAAGGCGAGAACACAAATTATATGTCTACAAGAGACACATATTAAAAAAGATGACCAAAAATATTTAGAGAATAAAAAATTAGGAATAAAATTCACGTCATGTGATCAAAAGAAAAAAAATGGTGTTGTGATTTATGTTAAAGAGTCGCTACACCCTGAATTGGTCTTTGATTCGAAAGATGGAAGACTGGTGGTAGTAAGGATACATAGGGGTGGGAAAAGGATGCTTATCGCTAACGTTTATGCCCCCAACATGGGGCAAATTAAATTCTTTCAAAATCTTAGGGAAGAAATAACCAAATTAGATGGGGAGGAGCTTTGCTTAGTAGGAGATTTGAATGCTGTACAAGACAAATTATATGACAGGAAGAACCAGGCAGGAGGCCATGGGAAAGGAGGTGAACTTCCAAAGGAGTTCTTTGAACTAGTTGATGAGCTTAATATTGTAGACATATGGAGATTGAGAAACCCAGATAAACTAGATTACACTTACTTCTCAGGACGACACCGATCGTGGTCGAGAATCGACATGATCTGGTTAAGCGTGACAGCCATTACTGACTTGAAAGAGGTGGAGATGCTTCCAATGACGTATGCAGATCATAAGCCTATGATGCTTACTTTAGGACATGCAAGTAGGCCGGTAAGATGGAGATTAAATACCTTTTTATTAAAAGACCCAAAAATTGTGAAGAAAATAAAAGAAGAAATAAAAGAATTTTTTCAGATCAATATCCAGCCAGAAATTAAAATAAAAACAGTTTGGGACACCTTTAAGGCATATGTCAGAGGCAGTTTTATAAGGGAAGCAATCAATAGAAGGAAAAGACTAACGCATAAACTACAGGGTCTAAAGGAGAAATTGAGAACTGAAGAAGATAAGCTGAGAATAAATCCAACTTCAGATACAATAAGGATGAAACAAAAAAAGCTACAACATGAAATAAATTGTCTTCTGAATGAAGAAATAGCTAAGAAAATATTATATACCAGATAGAATTTTTTTCAGTATGCAAATAAGGCATCCAGATGGCTGGCATTCAGATTGAAGCAAGGAAAAAAAAGATATATAAAGACCTTAAAGAATGAAAACGGTAGGGAAGTGAGTGAAATAAAAGAACTTAGACAAATTGTGCAAAACTTTTATACCCAACTATACAGTAAGGAAGAGGTGGATTTGGATAAAATTAGGAACTACATAAAGAACAATCCGAATATTAAAAAGTTAACTGAACGACAGAAAAAAGATTTAGAACAATCTATTGCCATGGTGGAGGTAGCACAAGCAATTAAAAAACAAAAGAAAAATAAAACCCCGGGCCCAGATGGGTTGCCTGCCGAATTTTATTGTGCCTTTGAGGAAGAAATCAGTCTGGTGTTGAAAAGGGTGATGGCAAATGAGATGAATGAGATACCAGATTCCTGGAGGTCAGCGGCTATCTCATTAATACACAAAAAAAATACGGATGACAGAGAAATACGAAACTATAGGCCGATCTCTTTGTTAAACGTTGACTATAAGATCTATACATCAATTATGGCACAACGTTTAAGACAGATCCTCGCAGAATTAATACATTCAGATCAGGCAGGATTTCTCCCCAAGAGGCAGCTTAGGCATAACGTACGGACAATACTAAATGTATTAGAATATGGCGAATATAATCCTGACAAACAGCTGGCTATTGTATTTCTCTACGCCGAGAAGGCGTTTGATAATATAAATTGGGCCTATATGATGGAAAATCTAAAAGAGATTGGATGTGGAGAGGACTTTTGCAACAGAATAGGAGAAATATATAAAGATCAGGAGGCAAAAATTATAATTAATACAGATTTGTCAGACAAAATAGAGATAGGGAAGCGCTTTAACCTTTCCTCATAGGGAAAGTGTTCCAACCCTTTTATCTTTCGAGTTGCCCTTTTCTGCTCTTTTTTCCAATGCTATATCATCCTTTTTGAGGTGTGGTGACCAGAAGTGTACACATTTTTCCAAATGAAGACGTACCATTGATTTATACAAGGGCATTATGATATTGGCTGATCTGTTTTCAATTCCCTTCCTAATAATCCCCAGCATAGTGTTGGCCTTTTTTATTGCAGTTGCACACTGCCTTGGCATTTTCATTGAGTCATCTACTAGGACTCCAAGATCTCTCCCTTGGTCAGTCTCTGCCAGTTCAGACCCAAAGTGTTGGCATTGTGGCTTAGAAGTGGGTCTATACGCCCACATGTGGTGGGAATGTAAAGAGGTTAGGGAATTATGGCAAAAAATTGTAAGGGTTATCTTTGATTTATTCCAAGTTAATATAGAGATTAATAGAGATCTGCCTATTTCTGGAATACTGGGAAATAAAAAAGTGGAAAGAAATAAACGGGAGTTATATAAAATTATGGTTTTAGCCGGGATGGCTGTAATAGCATTGGGATGGAGGGATAAGTGCAAATGGACTTGGCTGAGAGAGTGGCTTATTTTGAAAAATAGGAGAGTGTTAAGTTTAGAGGGATATGATCTGATGGTTGGTTGGCATGCAATTGTATGGGATGAAACACATTCATATTTCAAACAACATCTGATCAGAGCCAGCTTGCTAAAAGTATGGAAGCAGATTAAATCAACATGTATTTATAGTTAGGATTTTTGGCTCCAATGTGCATCACCTTGCACTTGGCCACATTTAACCCCACTTGCCATGTTGACGCCCATCCTTGAGAGATCCCTTTGGAGTGCCTCACAATCCTCCCTGGTTCTCACCACCCTGAACAACTTTGTGTCATCCGCAAACTTAGCCACTTGACTGCTTACTCCCAACTCCAATTCATTAATGAACAAGTTAAAAAGCATCGGACTGAGTATTGATCCCCGCGGGAGGGACCCCACTGCTTACCCCCCTCCACTGAGAAGATTGCCCATTTTCAGTCACTCTTGTGTTTCCTATTCATCAGCCAGGTTTTGATCCACCACTGCTGAATTTACTGTAGGAGCCTTTGATGAGGAACTTCCGAGAGCGGAACCGTTTTGGCCGCGGGAGGCCGCCGTAGCGGCGAGTGTAACGCCGATTGCGTTCCGGGCGGCTTCCTAGGCAGGGCCGGGCCGGCGTCCGCGGAGGGGCCGCCATGAGCGACAAGGGGGAGCTCGACCTGACCGGGGCCAAGCAGAACAC